TCTCACTAGAGACCAGTGACCTCATGAAGAATGGAACCTATTATCTCACTAGAGACCAGTGACCTCATGAAGAATGGAACCTATTATCTCACTAGAGACCAGTGACCTCATGAAGAATGGAACCTATTATCTCACTAGAGACCAGTGACAACATGAAGAATGGAACCTATCCTCTCACTAGAGACCAGTGACAACATGAAGAATGGAACCTATTATCTCACTAGAGACCAGTGACCTCATGAAGAATGGAACCTATTATCTCACTAGAGACCAGTGACCTCATGAAGAATGGAACCTATTATCTCACTAGAGACCAGTGACCTCATGAAGAATGGAACCTGTCTATTCACCAGGGACTGGTGGCGTCCCTGAGCACACTGCCTGTCCCTTCATTTCACATCATGAAGAATGCAACCTATCCCCTCACTAGAGACCTCCTGTGACATCAGAGAATGCAGCCTATCAATTCAGTGATGACTGGATGTCACCGATGTATTTTATCCTTTTTATTCAAGAGAGGTGATGTTGTTGAGAGTGCAGCGTAACTATTCTTTAGAGATTAGTGATGACCTAATTGGAAAGCTAGCTAGTCCATTCCCTGGAGACTAGTTAAAGAAGAACTCTGGGAATAAAAACAAAACCGTAACCCTTGCAGTGCAGAGTTAGTCCCACTGCAAGGGCAAGTGCTCATTTTGTCTAGGGGGTCTCAAAGCTGATACCTTTCTACTGTTTCAAAGCTGTATTATTCACATGATCCTCAGTCCTGCCTTTTTTGGTATGTCCCTCGTAGAGCTGCAACAGTTAATCGATTTAGTCGATTAAAAACGTTGGCAACGTTTTCGATCGTCGATTCGTCGGCTATCGATTGATTTGCCTGTTCGGGGCTGTTCCGGGCTCCACATGCGGCTTGAGCCACACGTCATAGGCAGTGGTGGAATAGGTGTATGGGGGTGCAGTGTGGACCAGGTGTATGGGGGTGCAGTGTGGAACAGGTGTGCGGGAATATAGTGGTGGAATAGGTGTCAGTGTGGAATAGCTGTGTGGAGAGGCAGTGGTGGACCAGGTGTATAGGGGTGCCCGGTGGAATAGGGGTGCAGGGATGCAGTGGTGGAACAGGGAGGCAGTGGGGGAAACGGGGTATGGATTTCCTCTATAACTGGTCAGTGGTAATCTGCATTGCGCAGTATAAATCATTATACAGCGCAATGAAAAATACCACCAGCTATTGAGGACTACAAATCCCAGCAATAATACATTATATACAGCGCAATGCAGAATAACGCCAGCTACAGAGGACTACAAATCCCAGCAATAGTACATTATAGTATAATGTACTATTGCTACATTCCTCTATAGCTGCTGGTATTCTGCACTGCGCCGCTGTATAATGTACTATATTGCACACCACACTTTTTTTTTTACTTCCACCGCGCCAAGCTTGCTCCCGTGATGGACTACAATCTTAACACAAACTAGTCGTCAATCACTGGAGCCTTTTTTTTTTTTTATCCGATTAATGGAACTTAATAATCGGCCAACTAATCGATTATGAAAATAATCGTTAGCTGCAGCCCTAGTCCCTCGCATCTAATGCAAATCAAGGGGCCTGCATAAGAAGTGGTGTCAGCAGTCCTTAGCCCGCCGGAAACCAGGGGAGAAGAGGCTGCACGGACTGGTCTAGCAGCCCGGTGGGGCCGAGAATCAGATGAGCTTATCTTGTTTTATTGAGCACCTTAGACAAAAGGAGGTAATGAAGGGTAGCCCTACTGCAATGGTACAGTGTTTTTTTTTGTTTTTTTTTTATTCCTGGTGTTCTTCCCTAATGGCACTTTAAAATGCAGCTTTATCTATTTGCTGGAGACCAGTAATGTCCCTGAGAACACGGCCTGTCCATTCACTGGAGACCAGTGTCATCATTTAAAGTGCAACCTCACTAGAGACTTATGACACCCACAATATACAGCCCGTCTCTTAATGCTTTCATTGTACATGACACAATAATAGCAGACGTGGGTATTAGAGAACAATAACATGCCAGGCACAGGGTACCAGCAAACGTTACACCATATCTTCAGTAAGGCAGTGTAGAGGGTGCTCATATTTGTATCTACTGTATGTATAGTTTATAAAAGAAAGTTGATTTCTTCAACCAGTCCAAATCCTCCTCTGTTACCAGTGTGAAGTGGAACGTTTGGCATTGCTATTTGTACTCTTAGGCCTCATGTACACTACGTACCAAACCGTTGAGTTCAGGTGCGTTTGGAGCTTATTTCTAAATGCACCACAACTCATGTAATGCATTTCTATGACTGAATGCACACATAGACGTCCAGCAGTGTCTAGGTGCCTTCAGTCTGGGTCAGTTTACCCAAAATAGAAATGTTTGCATTCCGGTCCGAGTAGCCCAGTTTTTATGTGGCTAACACGCATGTAAACGTGACTAAGCCCGGCACAGAAAAAAGTCATCTGGGAAGCATAAAGTTGTTACCAGATAACTTCTGTTGGGCTTAAACGCAGCCTGCCGGTGTGCACAAGGCCTTACTGGATTATGCTGCAAAATGATTGTTTCATCTTGTAGTGGAAGTTCATTTCTTCACGATGCCCATCTTCATTTTGCCGTAGACTACCGTAGTTTGTTTACAACTGGAGATAAAAGCAGGCCTAAAAGTATCAGTTAGATGTAGATTGTATACAGGTATACATAGATTTGGCGCTATATTTTCCACTTATCGACTCTCACATCTTACTGCAACATTTGTAAACATCTCTCCTCTTGTGGTTTCCTGTTTTAAATTCTCACTAAGCCTGAGTCTTGCTACCCGCAGTCTATTGGTACCGACTAACCACTTAACCCTCCCCCCTCTGAACTTCTAAGAAAGCTGGTCACGTGACAAGCGGGAACGGTCGCCATGTATAGCCCTCATTAGCATAAAGCATATTGTTTACATCCACCGTGGCTTCACAACAAAGCATATCGTTAAGCGTGTGGTTTCTTTGATCCTGTCATTTGCAGGTTGTGCTTGTGAAGATTGCCACATTTCAAATGTTAGCTGGCGCTCACTGAATTTCAAGCTGTACAGGCATAGTGAACGCGGCAAAGTTGTTTTCTTAACCCCTCAATGACTGGGGTTTGGCGGGTAAAAGGAATAACTGCGGTCTGAAGGCTTTACCTGAAGGAGCTTACACTTTTAATGTCCTTACCAAAGTTCTACAGGTACACGCATTAGGGTCAATATAGGATGAAGGCCAGTATTTCTAGGTCTCGCGTGTTACTGCAGCGTGTTTTAGTGACATTGATCACAGGTATTTATATAGCGCCGACAATTTAGGCAGCGCTTTACATAGTTGCACATTCACATCAGTCCCTGCCCTCAAGGAGCTTACGATGCAAGGTCCCTAGCTCGCATATATAAACGGCCGGAGTACCTGGAGGAAACCCACACAAGCACAGGGAGAACATGCAAACTTCTGATGAATGTACAATGCATTGTACAGTAGTGGCCGACGCATGTGTTGCACACAATGCGTTAAAGAAATTAAATGATGCATCAACGTGCCCTGCCGGCCCATTCAACAGGCACATGGTAATATGTTGTGTTAAAGCAAAGCACCATTTGAAGGGGGCCCTTAAGATTTTACAGCAGAGTTTTGTAAGAAGATGATTGTTGAACTGGAAATGTTAGTTAAAGGAACTTGTCCTCCATTTTGAACTGTTCTACCTAATAGCTGGAACCCCATGGAGCCTACTGCAGTTTCACATTGTAAGTCGGGGCTTAACTTCCCTGACCCACACCTACCTGTCATCCCCTCACTGGCCACTGAGGTGCTTTCATTGGATGGGAGTGGGAAGGCCCCAAGGAGCTACAGCTCATCACCGTATGCCATCCTGTCAAATGAGGGTACGAATGTTGGCAATATCAGCTCTCTTATTGGATGGGGAGATTTGGCGCTGGAGTTTGTGCACTTTTCCTTAATTCGGACCAACCATGTGATCCTTGTTCTTTTTTTGTTTCTAAGCCAATGCCAAGTTCATTATTCCCCTATCTAATGTGTATCTTACACTTCTCTTCCCTTTTTCAGCCGATCAGGTATACGGCGACCAGGACATGCATGAGGTGGTCCGGAAACACTGCATGGATTACTTGGTGAGTGATGCTTGGAGAGTTTTTGTCTAAGCTACGTGTATGTGTAATATTTGTAATTATTTCATAGGATCTGCCTTGTTCATCTTTGCTTTATTTATTATATGTTGAATTCTATTACAGTTGAGGGTAAAATGTACTTATTTTTATTCTTAAAATTTTGAAGTGCACCTGTCATACCCATCTCTTAAACTACTGATTAGAATAAAACTTCAAACCTTCAGATCTCATCTTAAAAAAAAAAGAAAACTCCTCCAGGAAAGAATTGTTAACCCTACCTCCACCCTGCAAGGGTTAAGTGCTCATTTTCGTCTAGGTGCAAAAATACCAGTTACACTCACCCAAAGCTCACTGGCTTTTAGACCGGTCCCTGGAGCCTCTCTTCCTCCTCTTCCCCCCACTCCACTCCAGCACTCTAAGGATTCTTGAGTCATCACGTCCTAAGCACTGTGTATTGGGCGTGAGGACGCAGAGGATCCCACCTCTGCAGCGTAAAAGGTGACATGCTGTAGGGAGCAGGCTTAACAGCCAGCCGACAGTTTCGGGTGAGTACAACTTTATTTTTGCACCTGTACCAAAGTGAGCACTTAACCCTTCCAGTGTGGGGGTAGCAAGGGTTGAAAAACATTGTCCCCAGAGTTCTTCTTTAAGCACCGCTAGTGTCCTAAATTTCTATAGTTAAATTCCAGTTCTCTTCAATACATATTGTTTTAGTCCCATGTTAACCCTGCTTCCTCCGAACCCATCGTTATTGGTGGTCCTCACTGTGTTGTATTCTTATAGCTTGCTTAGGAAACCTGTAAAGCAGGGGTTGGCAACTTCGGCACTTAAAATGTATTGCAAGAACAAATCCCAGCATGCCTTTGGGAGTCAAGCCTGTGGCTGTCAGTGTTGCTGTTCACCAGAACATGGGATTTGTAGTTTCGCCACAGCTGCCAAGGTTGCCTACCCCTGTTGTAAAGTGACAGTTGTACTTTAGTCAATGCTGTTACTAAAAATCTTACATAAAACATACTCTCAAGGTAATGTCTTTTTTGCTACCCCCGCCTCCCAAACAGATGAAAAACGCAGACTACTTCTCAAACTACGTAACCGAAGACTTTACCACTTATATTAACCGCAAGAGGAAAAACAACTGCCACGGCAACCACATAGAAATGCAGGCCATGGCGGAGATGTACAACCGGCCTGTAGAAGTGTATCAGTATGGCACAGGTAACACTATAGTACTATTCCAGCTATGCCTAAAAAGCATGCATCCCCAGAACAGCAATAGGCTATACAAATATGTATCTATTCATCTAGATTATGATTGGCTCAGAATGATCATGTGCCTTTTTAGTATCAGATTAGTTCTCTTTTCATCTGCAGCTAATTAGCATGACACCAGCTTTCTTCAGAATGTTCTCATTGTAAGCATTCGTAGCATCGTACCTTCCACTCAGGATTGATACCGTTTCATATATTATTATCTTTTTACTTTTGCACATCAGGTTTGCTGTAATAGGATATATGTTAGAGCAAATGTCATGAATATAGTGTGGTGCAGTACAGGAGCTTCTTAACATTTTGGCGAGGAAGCTTCTCCATTTTGGATGGGGTGGGGAAGGTTTAGAACCTCTTTCAGGTTTTTATTGATGCCTTTTGTACCGCTTGCGTAGATTCCTTTTTCTCAAGGACAGAAACAAATAAGAATCTCTCCATCAGGGACACAGACTACATTATGAGCATTATTATTAGAGTCGGAAAGAGTTAGAACCTCTGTTCCACATAGGAAAATAAGCTCACTTTCTGTTGTGTCACTGGGACATGATGTCACTTGGAGACAGAGACCACCATATAAACCTGACAGGGTTTCTCATTTCCCCTCTATACAAAGTTTTGGTTGGACTCCTACTATAACTTTCAGCCTCAGGTAAAATCTGGTACCGTACTGTATGCTTTTGAGTCCAGATCTCTCTCCTTTCTTCTGTCCAGAACCAATTAACACGTTTCATGGAATCCAGCAAAATGAAGATGAACCAATCAGAGTGAGCTACCATCGGAATATACACTACAATTCAGTGGTGAACCCCAACAAGGCTACAATTGGAGTTGGCCTGGGCCTGCCATCCTTCAAACCAGGGGTAAGGGGCATGAGGGATTCCAAGTCTAAGGGCTGATTACCACTTCGGTGATCTGTCATAGTGTGTTTACCTGCATTACATTCAGTTGCCAGCTCACCCCAGATGAAACACACATGACCATTGTGGTGTGCTGAGGTGCGTTGTACGTTGCACTCTACTGCACAGTGCATTGAGGTGCCATTCACAATGAATGGCACTGTAACGCACTGTACATGAAGCAGGTGCATTGCCGTGCATTGTGACTATTAACACAATTGACAAGTGTGAATGGGCCCTGACAAATGAAACATGTATAAAAACTTTTATCTGCTGGGAAGATCAACGTACATACTCTTGTGACCCACCCACGGCTAAACCACATAAATGGTTCTACCTGATGAAAGATTTGTATAGTAAGGCATGTTTTTGTGATGCACCCACCACTGCTATGATATTTGGCTTCATTGTTTATAGGGGGTGACAACACCTTTCATAGCCTGTAGACTAGACTCTGCCACTGCCTTGCATCCTGCCTAATTCTTGGAATTTTAACAACACCACAGTGGTGATGCCCACTTGAGCTCTTGCTCACCTGTAGGCCATCCAAAGCCATCAGCTTTGTGGTCGCTCTGGAGTAGACACAGATTTTAAGTGATTTCACTGGCTGAGATGATTGTTGCTTTTGAAGGATGCATGCAGTAAATTAAAGTGTTTTATAGACGTTTGCTAGAAGCCCAACAAAAGGAGTACAAAGTCTTACAGCTTTTTTTTTCTTAACAATGCTGCTACAGTCTGAGTAGAGAAGCATGTCCCCTGCCATAAAGGACCCTTGCTCTTTGTGTGAAAGGTAGTACTGTGCAAAAGTCAGGTGTGAAAAAATGCTGTAAAGTGAGTGATTTCAGAAATAAAAGTGTTTTAATAGTTTTATTTTTTTTATCACTTAACAAAATGGAAAGTAAATGAAAGGAGAGAAATCCAAATCAAACCCTTATTTGGTGTGACCACCCTTTGCCTTCAAAACAGCATCAATTCCTCTAGGTACACAGTTTTTGATAGAACTCGGCAGGTAGGTTGTTCCATAAATCTGGGAGAACTATCTACCGATCTTCCGTACATGTAGACTGCCTCAAATCCTTCTGTCTCTTCATGTAATCCCAGGCAGACTCGATGATGTTGAGATCAGGGATGTTTGGGGTCGTTGTCCTGCTGCAGAATACAATTTGGGGCCAATCACACGACTCCCTGATATGGCATGATGAAGTATCTGCTTGTATTTCTCAGCATTGAGGACACCATTGATCCTGACCAAATCTTCATTGGCAGAAATGCAGCTCCAGACTTTCAAGGAGCCTCCACCATGCTTCACTGTTACTGCAGAGACTCATTATTGTATCACTCTCCAGCCCTTCAGCGAACAAACTGCCTCCTGCCATGGCCAAATATTTCACATTTTGACCAGTCCGGAGCACCTGCTGCCATTTTTCTGCACCCCAGTTTCTGTGTTTTTGTGCATAGTTGAGTCGCTTAGCCTTGTTTCCACGTCGGAGGTATGGCTCTTTGGCCACAATTCTTCCATGAAGACCACTTCTGGCCAGACTTCCCCATAGAGTAGATGGGTGTACCCGGGTCCCACTGGTTTCCCCCAGTTCGGTGCTGATGGCACTGCTGGACATCTTGCAATGTCAAAGGGAAGTAAGCATGATGTGTCCATCTGCTGCATTACATTTCCTCGGCAGACCACTGCGTCTACGGTCCTCAAAGTTGCCCGTTTTTTTGTGCGTCTTCAAAAGAGCTTGAATAGCACATCTTGAAACCCCAGTCTGCTTTGAGCTCTTTGAGACCTTGCTGATGCAGTATAACTACCTTGTTGCTGTGCTCAGTCTTGCTATGATGTATGACCTGTGACATGAAACTGTCTTCCACAACCTCACCTTTGTAGTGGAGATTGACTGTTCCTTACCCAGTTTTAAGCCTCCTACACATCTGTTTCTGTTTCAGTTAATGACTGTGTTTTAACCTAGATATGAAATTGATCATCATTAGCATCTGCTTTAGTATAATTGGTTAATCATACACCTGACTCTAATCCTACAGAATCCCTGACTTTGCAAGTGTAAGAATTGATGCTGGTTTGAAGCCAAAGGGTAGTCACACCAAATATTGATTTTGATTTCGATTTTTTTCTTCTGTTCACTCACTTTGCATTTTGTAAATTGATAAAAATAGTAATTATATATTTTTGAAAGCATTCTTAAAAACTTTTGTGTGTGTGTACAGATATATAGTGTGTGTGTGTGTTTACACTAAGGAAAATGAGTGCTGGTCAAATGTATTTGCTGTAGTCTGGAGTTATACATCGTTATGGAACATGACAAATATGCATTATAGAAAATCAGTTTCAAATGAGAGGCTTTATAGTCTATTGAACACGATGCATGGTTTTAGGTACTTTTCAGTCATGTTTTATCTCCCCAGGTAACAGGTTTTAAGTGTGTTGTCCTAGGGGAGGACCAAAAGCTACCTCCTAGGTGCTATAGAATCCTTCTCGGAGAGTCCAGTTGAGCTGGGTTATATTTCGGACCATTAGAATTAGGGATGCACCGATACTAGTAGCTGTATCATTGCTGATACCGAGTATTTGGGCAAGTACTCGTACTCGCCCAAATGCTTCCTACACCCAAACTTTCGATATCTGGAAGCCAGGCGGCAAGCCATTACTTGCCCCCCAGCTTCCTCATTGTCCATCGTCACCTGGTGACGAGGGAGCATGGAGCCGGCTTCCCGGCTAATCAGGAAGCTAGACAGCAAGTCATTACACACCGCCCGGCTTCCTTAATGGGACTTCCGGTATCTGTGATCGATATCGGTATTCGATACCGAAAAACAGTATCGGTGCATCCCTATTTGGAATCAAACGCCCAAGTGTTTTTTTTTATTTTTTTTATTATTTATTTGTAGCACTAAAAAATTGACAGATGTAGTATGATTGGCTGTAGTGGGCCCTTGTATTTTACAGGCAGTGATGTCACTAACTAGGAGCCTCTTTCAAACAATTTGTGTATTTTAGTATGCAGAGCAGTCGCTGATGAAAAATGCCATCCGAACCTCAGAGGAGTCCTGGATCGAGCAACAAATGTTAGAAGATAAAAAGAGAGCCACGGACTGGGAGGCTACAAATGAGGCCATTGAGGAACAAGTGGCTCGAGAATCTTATCTGCAGTGGTTAAGGGACCAGGAGAAGCAGGCCAGACAGGTAACACTATCAGTAAGGCCTTTCACTTTTCTAGGTTTCTGTTGTCATTCATTTTGCAGTCAAAACCTGGCTTTTCATTCTTCCCGTCTTGTCACCAACTTCTTCCTGTGTGCTCTCATATCTTTCTTCCCTATTGTTTTCTCTCTTCTCTGCACTACTTATATTCTTTTGTCCACGTTCCTAACTAAAATCATCCAGTCTATCTTTATATTCACAGCCCCGCAAGGCCAGTGCAACTTGCAGTTCTGCTACTGCTGCATCATCAAGTGGTCCAGAGGAATGGAGCGGGCGCTCACCCAGACAGCGCAGCACTGCAGGCTCTCCTGAACATCCTGATATTCATGGCGATCAAACAAAGCCGTCTTCCCCAGGGAATGCCCTAGTGTTAGCAAAACCTCCCTCACCGTGTGCACCAGGTAACTACGGCCAATGCTTTTTGTGTAAAATTCTTGAATGTCAAGTTTTACCTTTCTGTTACTAATTTGTTTTACATCCATAAATATAAAATGGCCCAGCTATTTGTCTGATTTTACTCCAATTAACCCTAAGTTAACCTTTTTCAGCCCTATTTAACTCCTTTTCCTCCCTTTTTATCTTACTGATTTTTTTTTTTTTTTTTCTATTTTTTAACCATTATTATTTAAGACTTTTTTTGTCACATTAAAAATATAAATGCATAAAATTGATTAAAAAAACCTGAAATATAAATTCCTGGTGTAGTAACCGTTTTAGATGGTTAATTAAATAGTTAGGGCCTCCTTGTGAAATAATGGTCTTTATGGCCTGTTTGTTACAACCTCCCTTTTGATAGCACAAATAAACAATTAACTTTGACCTGCACAGTAGGCAATGTCTCTTGGCACCTCTTGCAATGAAAAACTTGGCTCTGAGCTTTAAGATTCTTCTACCAGAAAGAGAGATGTTTGTTTGCTTGAACCAGGTACAGCACATATTGAATTATTGGTGTTCTGTATGGTCACATGACATGTCTTTGTCTTGTAGGCCCAAGCAACTCCGGAGCCGACAGAGCAACTTCCCCTTTGGTATCTGCACTGGAGTGCAGAGCCATCATGCAGCACATGTCCCCCACAGCATTTGGTGAGTGCACTACCTCCTTGCATCTCTTGAAAAACTACCATATAGCATTTTCAACGCTTCTATTTCTTCTTTACCTCAGGTCTGAAGGACTGGGATGATGATGAAATCCTCGCCTCTGTTTTAGCAGCGTCACAACAGGAATACTTAGACTCAGTGAAGAAAAACGCCCTGCGGCGGGACCCTTCCCCAGACCACAGCTGATATAAACATTTTAGTTCTGC